ACCACCGCCTCGCTTATTCCAGGCGAATGCGGGAGGGGTATTTCTCCAGATGCCCAAAGTCCACGTATATGACACTTCTTACGAAGATGAAGAACGCCACCACAACTAATAACAAGATAACCGTTACCAATGTCCACAAAGGGTTAATATCGCCGATCCCCTCCCAAGAGGGCAGTCCAATACCAAGGATCCTGTCTCGAGTATACGCCCACAACGTGAAGACCATGAAAGGCAGAGCCACCTGCAGGATAGTTCTCATGTAAGAGTCCTTTGCTTCCTCCGTCTTTGAAGACCCACTGACAACAGTATCGAAGGCTTGAACGACATTATGTGGGCCGTCCAAGCGGCCAACTAAGAGCTTTCGTAGGATGTCGCGAGCCTCCGAGGAATGGCCCGCTTCTTCGAATACGTCGCTCGCATCTTTGCCAGCCTCCTCGAGAATGATATCTTTCCCCCCCGGATGATCATCCAGGAACTTGGTCACGTTGTACACTAATAAATGTCAGTATCTGAGTTTGGAAGCACGACAGAAGGATGACCTTACCGACCCCATGTACAACAATCCAGCAGTCAGTCTCGGTCTTGTGAACTTTGATCTCTCCCCACGTAATAGTCGCCATGATGGAATTGTCTAACAACAAGAGTGAAGGGCTACAAATGAGAAACACCAGGTCCGTCCTGCCCCTTTGTATTGAGTGAGACGGACCAGGTGCCCCGAAGTTATTACTTTATTAGCATTCTTCTTCCTTCTCCTTCTTATCAATCTTTTTGCCACCCCCTGATAATGGCACAGGGTTGCGGCACTTCGAGTCAGCCCTAATTCCTTGTTATCATGAATAGCTGTAATGCTTGCTATAAGGAGCCTAGCGGTGAGAACAGATGGTACAAACCCAACTAGGTACCTAAGGTACAAAAGAGTCGTTTATCGGCAAAAGGCCTATTTAGTGATTTATCTCTAGTTATAGACCTTTGTGTAACAACGGCGGTATCAACTAGATTCTCACTATGGCCCGGTTCGTCACACTTGTTGATACATATTTCTCATTCCCGGTGCAGGGGTACATGTCTACTCGAGGGCAGGAGATACCTAATCTATCTGACCAAACATCTTGCTCACACTGCATCGTCAGGAAGTTACTTGTATCCTCTTGCGTCACGAAGCTCCCAACCCTTAGTATGGGTACAGGCAGACTAAAACTATAAAAATGCCACTGTGAAGCCACGAACGTCTTTAAATCTCAGGAAAGTCTTGCGATCCTTGATACTGGTATACCACAAGGTTTGAATATGTTGAAATGCAGAATGCTTCGCAATATTGATTTTTGTCTTGAGATCGCTATATTTTCACAACTTGAAGAGGAGATAGACGACGGAGTCACAGAAGTGCAAGCACCGGACTAGAGTTGGAAAGAGACCTGAGTTAGAAGGGACCTACATTCCCCCCTGTCGTCTCCATATTTACTAACGACGTACTGAGAATCCTATCCATAATCTAGGACAGATAAGCCCTTCCCAATAACTTCTTACGATACAACCAAGTGTTTTATACAAGATTACTGCTTCTTTGCTCCCGTGTTTGATGTTTTCTACACCGCTAGTCCCCTTTAGCGGTACTAGGTCCATGACACTTTGTATATTAGCTGTTGCCTAGGTATCAAGATACCTGGGGTACTTTGCTAAGACAAAAAGGCTTATAAGCCATAGCGTATCAACGTTTATATCTTAACATACTTGTAACAAGGCTCAACTCGTCTGAAGATACTATATATATATGTCTATCCGGAATTCAAGTTTCAACTAGCAGCTGTCCATTGCTTTGTATCAGAAAATCCTTTTCTTTCGTCATCTTTCAATATGGTTGAGTCATACCAAACTTTCTCTGAGCTAGTCCTCGCTCAGCGAGCACATTTAGCATCATCAAAGTCCAAAGTCCAGGTTGACAGTAAGACTCTTACCGTGGCAGATGTCGTGGCCGTCTCGCATTACCTATCCAAGGTAGTCGTCGCCGAAGACGCTGTACAGGCTATCAATGAATGTAGCAATATTGTCAAAAATAAGCTCTCCCAGGGCGAAATAATCTACGGCGTCAATACTGGGTTCGGCGGCAGCGCCGACCAGAGATGCAACGACGTCGACATGCTCCAACAGCGCCTCTTCACGCTGCTCATGGCTGGCATAACCAGTACTGAAGGATCAGACCGTGGCGTCAGTAACGCGTCTAGAACGACATGTATGCCAGAAGCCTGGGTTCGCGCCTCGATGTTGGTCCGCCTCAACTCATTAGCCGCCGGAGCGTCCGGTGTGCGTACAGAGATCACAGACCGGCTCGCTGAGATGCTGAATAGTGACATTGTGCCTTTGGTGCCTATACGCGGTAGTATCTCCGCGTCAGGCGACCTAGGTCCGCTGTCCTACATCGGCGGGGTGCTACAAGGCAAGAAATACGTATCTGCCTTCGTCGGACCGAAGGGCCAACGCGAGCTGCTGAGGGCAGACATCGCACTTTCAAAAGCAAAGCTCCCACCGCTTAGTGTGCAGGCTAAGGAAGGCCTAGCCATCGTCAACGGCACCTCAGTCTCCGCCGGGGTTGCGGCGTTGGCAGCGTATGAATGTACGAACCTGGCGGCCCTGACACAGGTGCTTACTGCTATGACGGTGGAGGCGCTGTGCGGCACGGACGAGAGCTTCGACCCCTTTATCTCCCAGGTGCGGCCACATCCAGGCCAGATAGACAGCGCGCGAAATCTATTCCGTTTCTTGTCAGGATCGCGGATCACCAATAGCAACGAGTACCTTAAGGAAAAAACGCTACGACAGGACCGTTACTCTGTCCGTACTGCAAGCCAGTGGATTGGTCCTATTCTAGAAGACTTCCAGCTTGCATATGCTCAAATCTCTATCGAGTTGAACTCGGTGACAGACAACCCACTCATCGACAAGAAGACAGGCAAGATATTGCACGGGGGTAATTTCCAGGCTAAAGCAATTACCAGCGCGGTCGAGAAGCTCCGGTCCGGTCTCCAATCCTTAGGACGCATTCTCTTCTCCCAGTGCACCGAGCTGATCAACCCCCACACTAACCGCGGCCTTCCGCCAAATCTTGTGGCAGACGATCCGGCCACTAGTTTTTTGCTTAAAGGAACGGACATCATGGTCGCTGCACTCACAAGCGAACTAGGTTTCTTGGCAAATCCTGTTGGTTCACACGTGCAGACAGCAGAGATGGGAAATCAGGGCATCAACTCGTTGGCCTTGATCTCGGCCAGATATACGTTAAAAGCAGTGGATACCTTCTCGCAGCTGGCAGCAGCACACCTTGTGACTATCTGCCAGGCCATCGACTTGCGAGTGAGATCAAAATCTCGAGACCCTACGGACCTTCATCCCAACGCAGGTCCATTCCTCGGCATGGCTGGAAAGAAAGTGTACGAATTCGTCAGGGAGGAGCTCAAAGTTCCACTCATTACCGAATCCCTCCTCTCGGGGGATTTAGAGGATGGGTCAGGTGGAGTGAGTCCGTCAGTTGGCCAGTACAACACAGTCGTCTACGAGGCAATCCGATCTGGTAAACTGAATAACGTTGTAGTCGACTGCGTTCAGGCGGCTCAAGGTGGTGATGCCAAGATACGCAGTTCCCTGTAAGAAATAACAGGGTCCGAGGGATCGGCGACAGACTCCGATTAGTCAGGGATGTCGAATAAACTAGACCATGTAGCTGAGGGCGTAATCTGGTAATACAATCAAATGTTTGACTGTGATTCTAGACTGTACGTAGTCAGTTAGCGTTCTTTCAAATTAAATCTAAGTGAGACGATCCCACCGCATTATAGAAACCCACTACCCAATCAATTCGCTCGTCCGGTTCGTAATATGTCACGAGCCAGGCCATAGTAATTGTCGTCGTTTTGTCTGTAATCGGCTCATTTGCTTCTGACATAATATTCATGTGCAAGAATATGCTGTGTAACTGTGTAGGTAATCTAAAACAACGTTCGTCGGGCAAAACCAGTCGAGGGTCAGCCTACTTACTATGGAGTACATCCCTATTCCGGGCTGTTAAGCGGTGTGACTTGAAATGACCGTGGTAAGCTGGCCCGTATCACAGCCTATTTGTATTTTGTGTAACCACACATTGAGTTTAGATTAGGTACCTAGATAAAAAGGGCCTGCACAGTTTGCATAAATACCTCACGTTATGCACGATAAGGAGTGATAGTACAACTCGGTTACCAAATAATGCTATCTGACTCGGTTTAGGATTTACCAGCATCATGCTGGAGACAGCCTGTCATACTAAGTGAACGTGGCAAACAGTAAGCAGCAGGCTTGCTGCATCATAAGTAGGTATGCATGTACAGCTTCGTACCAAAGAGGGCGTGGGTATAGTAAACGGTATGGGGAGATATGCAAGTCGGTAGGCATACTGCGAGTCGAAAGGTATAGGGACATAGTGACAGGCTAGAAACGGTTCATAGATTATGATCTTCAACGTTATTGGCAAAGTTAATACGGCGTCGGATCGCACGATAGATGCAATCTGCTGCTTTTATGCAAAATTTCAAAAAGGATAAACCTCAAGCCTTTCCCCCCTAAAATGAAGATAAGTAGTAGGTAGATACTATATATCAAAGTCATAAGGAACTACATATCGACACATGTTCGTGCCTTTAAAGTCCTAGGTTAATCCTACATTTATTATTTCGTGGAGCTCTACATCCGTTTGCCTATAGGTACATATCACTTCACCACATTGCCTCGGTTGCATATAACCTCAGCGCCTCTTCGATAAAGCGTGTCACCGTCTAAAAACTGCCAACTCTTTTATCCGTATTATTTTAAGTGAGAGTGGAAGTTTAGAGATGCTCTCGCTCGCCGCGGCAATGTACGACTTAAAATCGATGTCGTATACCGACTCGATCCTGCTACTTCCATGCTTACTACTGCTTTTGGTATAGTAACTCCAACTGATGGTCTTATCGATGAGTTGCTAAAACTTTACAGTCCTTTGGCTACTGGTTTATCTGGATTATTTACACTTTTTGGTTTCATCCTCTAGCACGTTATCCGGGGCCACCATTGGCAGCTATCACAAATGTGAGCTCGGCGTTAGAAAGATATCTTTCTTGTTTATGTTCCCAGCTCCGCTAATTCAGTATTTCATAGTTCTGGTATGCTTGGGCGTGGACTAGCGGGAAATGGCCTATAATCGCCAAAGGAGCTCACGATAAATACGGTGAGCTATCCGTCAAAGCCTCCAAAGTGTATATAGCAGCTAATGAGCCTACCTTCAGGGGACATTGTACGAATTGCCCCAAATGACTTGTCCTTCATCACCCCCCAAGCCTACCGGGATATATACGGCCAACCTCATAAAGGACGCAAGCTCTTTCCGAAGCCGCCGATCTTCTGGAAGACTATGAACGTACCAGGTATGGCTCACATGACGGACGTAGAAGAAGCTGCTGCTTCGCGTCAAATGCTTTCTCCGGGATTCAGTGCTCGCGCCCTACGGAATCAGGAACGCGTAGTCCAGATTTATGCGGATCAGTTCGTGGCCACCCTCGGTCGTCTTAGCGTCGAAGAAAATAAGACTGTGAATATTGGTGACGCGTTTAACTGGGTAACATTTGACATCCTCGGTCAGTTTGTGTCTGTTGCTGGTTACGAAAATAACCACTGACACATTTGACTAGGTGAGCTTGCATTTGGCGAGTCTTTCGATGCGGTCAAAAACGCAAAGACACACTTTTGGACAAGCGTAAACGCCTCCTTTTCCTGTTTCTACTGAAACTTTTGTTTCTTACAGTTTAGCCTGATTGACTGCGAACTTTCTAGGTTGTTACGGACGCAAACGCCATCCAGATCCTCCCGGGCCTCATGATACGCCTCCCGATTCTGAAGCTTTTCAAACCCTGGTTCATGACGAAGGAACAAGCCGCCATCTATGAAATGCACCGCCGACTTACCCAGGAAAAGGTCCGCAAGCGGATCAGGCTCGGAGACGCGGCCAAGGACGACTTCTTCTCGCACGTGCTTAAGGGCCAGCTGACCGAGGAACGGCTGGCTTCCCACGCAAGCGTCCTCATGGTCGGGGGCGCTGAGACTACCTCGGTCACTTTGACGGGGGCCGCCACCTTTCTAGCGCAGGACCAGCGGCGCTTCGACAAGCTCAAGGATGAGGTCCGCTGCGCCTTCAAGGACAGTGCCGAGATCGACGGCGAGTCCGTCGCGCGACTTCCCTACCTGAAGGGCGTGCTCGAGGAAGCTCTCCGCCTATTCCCGGCCGTCTCGGGCTTCCCCCGCGCTTCTCCCGGGGAGACTGTTGATGGACATTACATCCCCGAAGGCACCGTCGTGATGGCCGACACGCGCACCATGGGTCGAGATCCACGAAACTTCCCCGACCCAGACACGTTCAAGCCGGAGCGCTGGATCGAGGAGAGGGAGTCGATGAACCGGAAGCTTGTCAACATGACTTTTGTCCCGGGTGCTCGAGGCTGCATGGGCATCAGTATGGCCCATATGGAGATGCGCATCATACTTGCGAAGCTGGTGTTCGCCTTTGATTGGGAGCTTGTTGATGCAGAAGGTCTGGATCTTGTCCGTAAGCAGAGACAAATGGTTATGACGCAGAAGCCTCGGATCATGGCTCGGTTCCATCCAAGGGGTGGTTAAGGTCCCAGGGTGTGGCTCCCTGGCAAGCCTGGTGACGGCTTACAGCTCTAGCTTCTAGATTATTAAAGTCTTATACTTGGTAGTCACATTATAGCCACTCTTTTAACTCAACCTGCTGTATTCATTTAGTTATTTTAATTTTACAACAACTAGTTACCTTTTGTCATAGTACCTACAGACAGCTTAGCTGTTTCATACAATCATATGCATTATTACAAAATAATAAAGGTAACGAGAGAAGGAAAGATATGCATGCTACGGCGTGCAGATCAAGTCTAAATACAGGTACGAGCAAATGGTGTACGCCGGCAGTATCTAGATAGGTGGGCCACGACAGCAACCAGATAGGTAACAGGGCTGGTAGCCAGGAGCCACGTGTGATGAACCTGTCCATGTCCTGATCTAACTGGCGTACAGAGAAGTCTCGTACAAGTGTTCCTTGATTTTCAGGTAACAGTAATCCAGGGTAGCTTCAATATAGTCCATAGATAGAATGTTCATCAGAGACATTTCAGGGTATTCCCTCAACGAAATGCCTTGTTCCGCTTGTGGCGCTGCTAAGAGGAAATATGTTGCATCGGATGACTCTGAATGCTGCAATGATTCTGTCCGTTTGGGTCGGTCGAAATGCGATGTATTTGGAATTTCAAGAGATAGTGTAGCAGAAATAACGAGGCAGTTTCGGCAAGTCGAAGCCGAATCAGAACTGGCGGGTGCTACTGTGGAGGCAGCCATGGACAAGACCAGTCGGCTTCGTATACAGCGGCGTCTCTGGTTTGAAAAGTGAAAAAAAAATAAAAAATAAAAAATAGAAAAAGGTCGATAGTGGTCTGAATTCTATGGAGCAGTTAGAGCGCGTGGAGCGTGAGGAAGAAGAACAGAGTCAAGCCAAAGCGCAGGCTAGTTCCGCTTCTAAGGTCGAATTTGCTGCCTTTGGCCTGGACCTGCTCTATCCTCAGAACCTCCTGGTCGGTCTGAACTCATGAAGGTGGAAATCTGCGAGTTCAACCGTCAAGCTCTTCAAGTGTTTGGGTAGTTCCCATATCTTCTCCTCCGGTAGGCAGCCTTCTCGTTTAATAAGTTACCGTATCCGATTTTCCACTTTCTTTGAGTCCATGTGGGTTTTTAAAGTGGCGTTCTTAGGTGCTAATTTTAGCATAGAAGGTAGGTATGTGGAAAATAGGGGAAATCTTATATCCCTTAGGTAGCGATAGCCTATAGTAAACGTCAGAGAGGACCTCTTGAATCTTATAAGGTCCTGATTTCTTATAGTCAAGTTTTCGCTAGGTTATTTAGTTCTAATCTAAGGCGTTTTCAGTGAAGCGTTCTACTTCTGCCGAACTAAATAAACTTATCCCCTCTCCTATAAATTAAACTCACAATTCTCTTCATATTATAATACTTGGTTATTCTTCCTTGAAAGAATTGAAGTTCTTTTCGAAGTCTAGATAACAAAGTCCGTATTTCTATTAAAAGAAGCTTTACTCTGGGTACAATGATAATATAGCCGGTGCTTCTTTAATAAGTAAATCTTCACCTATTGTCTCGGCTTCTTATCCATATACCGCTGTGCGAGAAGATATTTTGATATTTTCGTTTTCTAAACTATTGTATCGCATCTAAGCTATTAGTGGTAAGTTCCACCTAATCATCCATTTCATAATTGATATAATTTCGTAGGTATTGTTCCATGCTTTGGAACAACAAGACTCGCCAAAAGTAATGACCTATTCGAGGCTATAGGTAAACGTGTCAGTGTCTTTTTAATGGCACAACGAAGTATATTCACTCGTTATCTAACAGGTTCGCATTCCACAATAGTTTGAATTTAATTTCTACGCATGTGAGAGCCATGAGTTCAAAGGCAATTTTGAGGTTAACCCCTGCAGCCCCTGTAATCTGTAATCTTCTACCGAAAAGATCGCGGGGTTAACCATACACCCCCACCCTACCAACCAACCGCCCAACCTTAAAAAATTTAAAAGTGGAAACATTACACATAATAGGAAATATGTTATCTCCGTTGTTCAAACCGCTTTCTAAATAAAGCTTAGCGCATGCTGCATCCGCTTGGCCCGTGCCATTGAACCCCTTTGGTCTAAGTTCGCTGAGATGATTTCTTATAGGTTTTTAATCGCCATCTTTATCCTTTCCATCCATCTTTTCTACAACCTAAGGGACACTTATTTCGTGCATAGCTGGCCTTAATATTCATTCCAATGTCATTTGGAAAGGCGTGAGCACTATGCTATGTCCTTCAGGATCCTCATCAATGTCAAACAGAGCTTGTCGCTGACTGGTATCGTCCTTGCCGCGCATCAACTTAGCGTTGACTACCTACGCCGAATAAAGAGAAAGCCTTCCTAACCATTCCAGACCCAGCCTCGATACTTTTTAATCTTCAATTAGAGGAAATAAAGTCCATACTAAAAGTTCGTTATAAGAATCTGGGACCCCTAATAATCAAGGACTAAAGGTTTGTTATCCCCTTGACACCTTTATTGCCTTTATACACAAAGCTCATTTTGGTACCACCTAGATATTTCACAAACCATTCAAGATTTCATTCGTTCGTAGTTGACATGTTATAAGTTTTATATTCATATCAGACACTGTGAGTTAAAAATGTGTGAGTAGTATGAGTTTAACATAGGAGTGAACGAACCATTTGTACAATCTCGTGGATTAACTAGACTCCTTCAGGTCCTCAAGGAATCTCCATCGACCTTCCCGCTTCCAGCCTTTATTTTCCCAGTCGGTAGCATCCCTCGGGTAGAATTCCACAACGTTAAGCAGAGTAGCATCATGTGAAAAGACAACAAACACGTTATCATAGGCATCAAACTCTTCAACTCCTTCAAGGCTCCATACAGCCTTTTCGGGATCGTCAATGAATGCTTTCGCTGATTTTAGAAATGGGCTCCTCCAACGGTCATCACCATCGTGTCTTTTATTATATTGCGCGTAATACTCTCCCGGGCAGAAGCCACCAGAATATGGCGCAAGCCGAGGGTCGGGAGAAACTTTGGTAGGAATTGGCAAGAATCGATTTGGTTTGAACTCTCCGCCATGATGGGCTACGTCTCCGCCCATTAAGATGAACTCATCTTTCCCAGTTTTAGATTGTGCTCCCAGTTTCGTCCGAGCAAAACCCGAGATGTGGTCTACGGTGTGACCCACTGAATGGAGAAGGTAAAATGATCCGTCGTTGAACCAGTCAAGAGCCTCCCATCGGCCGATCTGCGTGACTCTCTTGTCGGAGTGGAAATCTAGCTCGTGAAAATTACGATTTTTCCATGCTGACGACGAACAAACAGATTCGTTATCTATCGGGTAACCCTCACCGACCATTTTTCTCAAGCCGGGGCCGACGACTAAATTTGTAGAGGGTGGGAAGACCGACGGATCACCAATGTGGTCAAAATGACGATGTGACCATATTATATCCTTAACATCAGCCAGATTAACCCCATTATCAATCAGAATGTCTCTCACGTCTTTTTCGGCACTTAAACACCATCCTTCAACCGCTTTTTGGACGGCAGGCGGATAGTTCTCAGGGTCTTTTCGCAGTCCAAGGTCAAACAATAGCTTTTCTCCTGAATGGCCGTGTTCAACCAGGAAGGAATACGCAGGGGCTTCCCAGAAATCGAAACCATCAATGTGAGGTTCGAAGAATAGATTCGTCGGAACATGAGCCAGTCTTCCGGAGCTATCGATGATGCTAACCTTTACGGTTGTATCAGAAGACGGAACATCTAAAGGAGGTGCTGATTCTGAATTGGAAGCCATGGTAAGGTACCTAAGTGTATGTATTTTAAGGGAGGATATGAAGGTGAGATTATTTCGTAGTAGCAGAAATCTGAGAATCCAATTTTAAGTGCCTAGGAGGCATATAAGCTATAGATTATGGGGTGATGGTCATGCACAGGTGGCAACGCGTCACATTATGAAGAGCGGGATAATAGTGTGGGGCTTAATAAGATATCGACATTAGCTTCTAATGATGTATGTAGTATGCGAACTCTATTAGGTAGGTACCTACCTACATTACATCGTCTACCTACATGTAGTTAGCCACTTAAAATTGTCCCTACTCGAAGCCAACCAATGTCGGGGTGCGTTATGGGTCCGAAGAGACATTGACTATACCTACCTAGGTACGCATTATCGTAACCTGGTCCCCGCTGCATACCTATATCTACTACATATGTAGTTACTACATGGCTACCTCATGGCTTGTAGTGAATTCGAACCTTCGCTTAAGGATTTTTTACAATATAGTATCATCACACTGCGTGTTCTGGCAACATCTTGTTGATTTATCCACCCACGTCTCGCGCCGGAAATTCTTGGGGTGTATTGTGAAATCTCTATGTATAATTAATACATCTTTAATCATACACAACCATCGCTCCACAGATAACACGGTGCCATCACTATTGTCAGCATATCAGGTAGATTAAGGAGCAAGCTGTCAAGCTGATAATACTTCTTTCCTCATCTTTGTGATAAAGATACGTGATACTTGTGACATCCAACTATTCCTCACGCCGCTACCTACTAACTCTGCCGGGTTCTCTTTCGTGCCTAACGGGTTACCAGGCCCAAGCTCTGGTATTGGCCCATCAGTACCTAACTCGGCTTCCAGATCTTTGGCCGGAAGGTTTCCGGGAGTTCGATGCGAGGATTCTCTATGCCCCCATTTCCCTACGAAATTCCTGATAAAAAGCCCCATACAAAGGGGCAGGAATGAATCTATCTTTCCAGTACGATACCGGCGATATCGACGCAAGATTGTCACAGCTAAGAATCCAAAAAGGATAACTATGAGAATCCCGGATAGTGCCATGGCTGCTGTATTGGTGCTTGACGCAGTACTGGAGGCGGCTCCTTCGGCCCCATTGGAACTCTGAGTGCTTCCACCATTCGTACTAGATGTGCTGCTGATAGGTTGAATTGATGTTGTCGTGTCTCGATGGCTGGATCGTAAGGGAAACGATGTGCTACTTAGCATCCCTGTTTCGGTTGAAACAACAGTAAGAGTAGGTAGTTCCCCCGTCTCGATTCCCGTCAATGTAGTTGACGCCGGT